ACCACGGGTTATTACTGCTATCACTGCGTGATGGGATACCACGGGTTATTACTGCTATCACTGCGTGATGGGATACCACGGGTTGTTACTGTTTTGGTGCTGTGCATGATGGGATACCACGGGTTATTACTTACTTGATGTGCTTGGTCAAGTTTCCTGTTTGGCTGAACCTCTTGTGACATTCAGGACACTCAAATGGCTTCTCACCGGTATGTGTCCTGGCGTGGGACTTCAGGTCAGAAGGTCCTGGGAATACGCGCTCACAAATCTCGCATTGGTACTTTTTAGACGATATCTGTCTGACTGGACTGCCTTCGATCTTTGGACATCTCCTGCACCTGATAAAAAACATGAATGAAATCGTATTCTTTGTTATTCGTCTCTTTGATCCATGAAGTAAGTTGATATGCGCGCTGTTAGGAAAGCAAGAGGTGCGCAGTTTGATCCCTGAATCAAGTGTGACGTATATAGGTTATTATAGCTCGCGTTTCGCCTTTGGGGTCTCGAATTCGATTCCTTGAGTCAGCATCACGTGACCAGAGTTTGTTAGGTCTCTCCTTTGAGACAAGGCGTTCAGTTCCCATGTTCTTCCTTCATTGTTTCTTCCCTCGACAAAACCACATAGCAATTGACTTGATCAGCCAGAGGTTGTTTCAGAGGTTTATAATGTGATGCATTGTCTTCGCCTTCTTTCTAATCCATCAATGCCAGCCTCTAAACACCGCAAATATGCCTTTAGAATTTCTAGTTTTACCTCTTTTTTTTCACGAGGTAAACCCACCTGATATGTTTATTGAGACCTGATTTCTGTACGAATCCCTGTCCGCAAAGTTCGCATTTGAACTCCTTCTCTCCAGTATGAGTTCTAAACAACACAAGATATGGTGTTATTATAAAATACATCGAGTACATGGAGATCATGGCTTGACTCACCGGATATGTTGTGTTAGTTTGTAATGCGATTCAAACTCGTTTTCGCAGGTATCACAAATGAACGGCTTCTCAACTCCATCAGGCGTGCATTTGTGGCGTCGACGACGATGCTTATTCAAGTTGCTTCTATTGGCGAAGGTTGCACTACATCTGCAATAAAACAGAACACGACAGGAATTAAGCATTTAACGTCATTACGCTAGAAGTATCAACAACCACTCGAAAAAAGGTAGAAAAAACAACCATTTCATTTTCATAATCTCAAACCAATGAAGACACATGCTGCAAGCCTCCTTCCATTTCCTAGATCCTGCGCTCAGCTCTACCTGGTCAGCATAGTTACCTTAGTAACGACCGGAAGATATACGAAGTAGAATGCAGGCTTCAAAACAATACAATGATAAAACATTGAGAACGTTTTTTCTTTCTTTCTAGAAGTATTCTATCTCTTTCATTTACGAAGTATGAACTTTGCATAATCTGACGTCAATGGTTGACCTTAGCAACCGTAACTATGGAGACGGCATGACGTCACGGTACTTACTCATCACAATGGAATGGCCACTTCATTTGATGTACAGTAGATAAGTGGCTTGTCAGTTCTGCCTGGCAACAAAAAGAAGCCTCGCATTCCTTTACAGTGCACACATATCTTCGTACTTGGAGTTTCTTCTGGACCTCGTCACATTCTGGGTGAGTAGTGTGTTTGTGACGCCATAGATGACCTGACAAACACACAACCATGCGGTAAGTGGAGTGTTCCAACTTTAAAGAATCTCAAAGAGTTGTGCTTGTCTTCTGGTAAGCTGTAGTGCCCTGCAAATGCGTCCCCCCTCCCCCATCCCCCTCCTACATCCCCTCCCCCACCCGTAACAGCTGTGTTCGTGATTTCGAAACTCAGATTATCATCAGCATATGTAAGTTGCTTGCTTCTGCTTGGTTTCCTTGTCTTTCTTTTCTTTTTTCTTTTTTACTTTTTTTTTTTTTTTGTGCTTCAAGGGTTTTTCTCCGCGTGTTTTACAGTTTTACTCCCTCTTCAAAATCAACTTCTAATTTGCAAATTAACTCGTCATCAAGCACTCTAGTCATGTGCCTTTGTCTGGGAGGACTGAGCAATCACTCCCCGCATGGTGGTCAATGGAAATGAATTGTACTTTTTACCTCTTTGAGTGAATGTAGCCTCGCAGTACGAACATTTATGTGGTCTTTCCTTTTCATGTACGGACTGTATGTGAACTCGAAGCACGCGCGAGTTCGAATACACTTTGTTACACAGTTCACAAGTCTTGGGCTTCTCAGCAGGTGGAAGAGATCTTTCGCTTTTCTCTTCATCGTCGCTGCAATGGACGGTTTTCATGTGTCGTTTGAGGTGAGGTTTCTGGGAGAACTTCCAATGACATAATTCACATTGGTACGGACGCTCTCCGGTGTGTGAACGCATGTGGATCTAGGACATATTAAAAGAATAATTGTCATTATCTGCCTCGTACGGAATGTTCATCAGCTGAACCACAAGTTATTGGTAGTCAGTGTTTGACCACCATTTGCAGCAGATAATGAGATTCAAAGACTTTTATCAGCTGAGTGAAACCCAGAAATTCTATCTGACTGACAGCACATGGTGGTTAGTGTTTGACCACCATTTGGAGTAGATAATGAGATTTAAAGACTTTTGATTGAATGCCAGCAACGAAATCCGTTTCCATGGGATACGACAAACGTACCCATAAAAAGCAGATATTTTCCAAAAGCGTTCTTCACCGTTTGCAAAAAGTTTCATGATTGGTTAAAAACAATACATAGGATTCAAATGACAATAGATTGGTCTTCCAAACAAAAGGGGTTGAGTGCTGAGACATTGAAAGTATTCTCCAGAGGGAGAAGTTGTGGGATAATGTACAATACCTCTAACGAATGAGGGCTATCAAACATCTTCTGGCATTCACTACACTCATGCTTTCTTTTTCTTGGTTCGTATCTTCTATTATCTTTAACAGGAGTGTAGCCAGGACTGTGTTTGTGAATGTGTTTACGTAGATTACTCTTTGATGAGAACTGTTTCTGGCAAAGAGTACACTTGAAGGCATCAGGGGCGTGGGATTGTAGATGTTCCTTCAGGTACGACTTGGTGTACAGCTTGTGACACACGGGACAAGCCATCATGCTGTCTGGAGATGCGTGCTCATTGCGCATGTGTGCATACTTTTTCTTCCTTGTTGCAAAGATAATATCGCACTTTGTACACCTAAAAATACAAGGAATTCATGATGTTGGAGCAGCACTTGATCAACATTGCGCTACCACTACTTGCGTTACACCACTTGATCAACATTGCGCTACCACTGCCTGCGTTACACCACTTGATCAACATTGCGCTAACACTGCTTGCGTTACACTATTTGATCAACATTGCGCTACTACTGCTTGCGTTACACCACTTGATCAACATTGCGCTAACACTGCTTGCGTTACACTATTTGATCAACATTGCGCTACCACTGCCTGCGTTACACCACTTGATCAACATTGCGCTAACACTGCTTGCGTTACACTACTTGATCAACATTGCGCTAACACTGCTTGCGTTACACCACTTGATCAACATTGCGCTAACCCTGCTTGCGTTACACCACTTCATTATTGACTTTGCGTTACCATTACTCGTAACATACTAAAATAACCTCATCCTGAAGCGCTTGAATGTGAGGCTATGTGGGGGCTCGCTTGCGTTAATACGCGTCAATTTTGCTTGAGTTACAGCACGTATTTCAACCATTACCTTGGTTTGTGATCTTCGTCATCTCGTTTTTCCTTCATGTGACGTGACAACTCTCTATAGCTGCTCATCTCCATATCACAAACAGAACATCTGCAACCATGACAACGAGAATGAAATCACACATACCAATCTCACTCGGCCTAATGCTCAACAAAGGAAACCTAACTAGTATACTATACACTACTTTATAGTTCAATAAGACTTACATTGATTTTCCATTACACTTGTGTGTAATTTTGCTGAGGTTGCTATCAAATGTACGACCACACCCTGAATCGCATGTGAACAACAAGCTTGTACATTTCTGTGATGTCACGTGCTCAACAGCTGCATCATGGGAAGAAAACTCTTCAGCACAGTAAGCACATTGGTACTTTTTATGAGTAGTTTCTGTGAAGTTGGAGCAGTAATTATTACTACAGTTATACTACAAGCATCATTTACAAGCAGATTAAATTATTATTTTGATCTACAATCGATAGAAAGGTTTTTACTAGGGAACTTGTGGGAACTGCTTTGGGTGAGGGAATTAACACAGCAAAACCAGGGGTTACCCCCATATCTAACAGCGTGAATAAACAGGGATACAGGGAATTGAACATGTACCTCAACAGTTTTAACAATTATAATAGCAACAACTTTAACAATTTTTTCTAAATTTAACATTTTTTAAATGCATAAATTTACCTGTGCCATCCATAAGACTCATCGATATTATTTCATTTACACTTGGAGTAACCTTGGTAACCTCTTTAGGCTTTTTCTTTGGAGTCGGCATCTTAGCTTGATCATCCTCTAGACTAAAATCTTTATCTGTAACATCATTGTCAAAGTCCTCTTCATCATCATCACTATTGTCATCATCATCATCATCTCTTGTTCCATCATCTGCGTCATCGTTGTTTGTACCTATACCAGCTATATCCTCTTGGGTCTCATCAGCATTTTCAACTTCCTGCTCATTTAGTGGTAATACAGTGAGCTGCCCTTCCCCTGACTGAGGCACAAACTGTACTGGTATACTTTCAACGTATGCAGGATACTTCTTGCCTGAACAATTAAAATTGCAGTAATTAAAAAAATACCTAAAATGCTAAAAAGTTAAACTTGATTCTAAAAATATGTGATATTCCATAGTAATTATTAAACTAGTGATATAAATATTCCTTGTTCCTTAATTGTTCCAGAGAAAGCACTAAGTTAACATTGGCCCTTGTTTTGTGATTAAATTAGAATTTACAAGTTGATCTTTGTTGAGAAAGGAAAACCAGAGAAGCAGAAGAAGACGTACCGAAGAAAATGCTTGAATCACGGTAGTGACTAGAAAGCAGTACTAATGACATTAATGATGGCAGGTCCAAAGATTAGACCCATAACAACAGAGGTAAGAGATAGCACTTTATCATGTAAAATGTAATATGTGTTTTAGAAAATAACTTGACTATCATAAGTCTTGCTTTCAGATTGGTTGACATGTGCTTTATGAGCAAATTATAAGATGATTGTTGAGAAGCACTCCTCTGGGTACCATGCTTCTCAACTTCATCACAAATGGCTCATTTAGTCTTTCTTCAGTATGATTACGTATATATTATGTACACTATAAAGCTGTTTTCTGTCTATGAAATGGTGCAAGCAGTACTGCAGCTATTGTGTGTTTTACTCTAGCTTAATACATTGGGATTGGATAATTTACTAGAAGACAATGGGAGCCATTACATGTCGTAAGCCAGTACCAGCATATTTTCCACTGTAATAAAAGGCGATGTAAATTTATACATACCCCCATATGTATCATCATACAAGACCAGTAACTCTTCACCAGGATTGATATCACAAGTTGCTTCATAACAAACACCAACAGCTGACTTGTAAGCCACCATGTTCTGTGTCATCTTGCTTGATGCGCTTTGCATCCCCTGGAGCCACATACATTTTTCTTTGTCAGTATCATGAACAAAGAAGAAATAGCTCACTTCATCAACACCCTTTATCTGAAATAAAACACAACCGATCAAACAATATTAGATAATATACAGTAGTTTAAGTGATACTTTTCCTCACAAGAATTCATTATTTATTTTTGGAATTAATTCAATTTTTTTTTTAAATTCAGTTTTCAATTTTTTCTAAGATCCTGAAGAAACATATTTTGTTTTCTTTACCTTACAGACCAGTGAACAGTCGTTATCAGTCTTTTTTCCAGCTTTGCTGAAGTGCCCTCTAAATGGTCCAAAACACTTTCCTTTAGCAACACTCTGTTGTGCAAGAAGGCCAGCTTTGCGAAGCTCTGGTGGTAGGTAGTCATTTGGCTTACCTATTGAAAGTTGAAAAGCTACATTAAAAATATAATCTCTTTAGACAAGAAACCTGGAAACTTTTTGTGAACAAAATAGACCCTTTCCTCAAATAAGGTCATCTCTTTGATCACCTTAAATTTTTCTTCATGCAGTTGGCGTACAAATACATTACGTTAAACTACCTCACTTAAGGATAATTTTTCAATGTTGTGTTGTTGTTTTCTTTAATTATTAATGATTGATTTTTAATTTTTGTAAATTTCGAAATCTAACATCACTTTTTGAACTCCATTGTCTTTCAATTAAAACTGCGCAAAGTGGCATTTTTCAGCTTTTGTAAACGCATCTGTTGTTTGTAATCAACATATGCAAATCTTTTCCATTCCACGATATGATGACTGCTAGTCCGATCTCTTCTATTTTTAGATCTTTACTTTCAAACAGAAATCTCCATGAATAATAGCAAAGAATGCTAGCAAGGTTGGATGTCAGCAATACTACAGTATGTAATATTTACAAGATATCAAATGAACTTCCAGGTATCTTGTGTTTCTGGTTTCGAGTCCTGCGTATTCGCGTTCCCTTCATCGACCAAGTCGGAAATTTTTTCACCCGGAAAGAACAATACTACAAAATCTACGATCCATACCTTTTGCTTTAGGTTTTTTTATCGTGGATGAACGTTTTTCGTCATTTTGAGAACTGAATCGCAGTTTTCGTTTCTTCGACTGTTTGGACTCCGCCATTCCGCGTGTAGACGCTTTTCGTTTCTCGCGTCCAGATTTTCGTATTGGACTTTCATTTTGCGCAGATTTTACCGGTGTTTGTTTTGTTCTAGCCATCATGGAGTCGTTAATGAACCAACTCCTTAATTATCTAAGAAATCGGATAGAAATTTCTTTAAAAATCAGCCATGATTTGGGGAAGCCAGTGAACAAACTCCACCGACTTTAAGGTCCGTTCCGAATAGTCTCTTATTTCAAGTCACGTGGGATATATGTTTTACCCTCTAGGGAGGGGTTAGGAATATACCCTGTAAAGGAAGTACAGGATTTGATTGAAAAAATACGGAATTCGAATTATTATTTTTTTGGGAACAACAGTAGATAATTCGATGGCAATGAAATAATTATTGATATTATCCCCAGAAATATTGTTTATGCACAGATCTCCAATATTTTAATTTATGCAGATTTTGTACTTCCGGTTTTTTTTCTTGGAAAAGTAAGTGCTTACGAAGCATTTTTTTTCATATTTTTCTCTGGAAAGAAATTCGTATTTGAATAGCTTCTCCTTTCTGGACACTATTCTACCACTCATAGAAAACAACTGGCCAACAATTGGTGAAACTATGGATAATCGAGAACTAAAGCTCCTTCTGGATAGATATTTTTCACAAAAAGTGACGTTGCGGCAAGAAGAGAAGCGTAAAGCATTGGAAGTCTGGGAAGGTGTAGTTAAGAACATCCTACAAAAAGTAGAAGCAAAAGATCCTCGTTTTAAGCTGACAGGAGTTTACAGTGGCAGCTATTACGAAAGAGCCAAGGTGAAAGAGCCCAATGAGTTTGATCTAATGCTTGAAATGGAAAAACTCAAACTTGGTAGTGGCGATCAGTACGACAGTCATGAAGACAATCTTGGTACAGATCCACCTCTCGGTAAGTGGATGAAGTCATGATTATATATTAATCGATATCAACCAATTTTGATTAAGGTAGAAAGCTTAGCTAATATTACTAATAATTATTATATTATAGGATACACAACAGTGATGATAGATCAGGGAGAAGAGAATGAGTGGAGGCCTGAGGGTTGTATTCCAGGAAATGGAAATCTTCTAAGTGCAACCAAAGTCAAGTCTTTGTTTTGTCGTTATGTACATGAAGCCATTACAGAGCTTGGATACTCGTGAGTACTAATATGCTTTACAGATGGATATAAAGGGCCGTAGCAAGGTCAAAAAATATTGGGGGAGGGGGAGGGACTCGGGCTTTCAAGCCATGCCCATAGATTCTGAAAGACAGCCAAACGTTCATTTATACCACTAAAAACGAAACCTCATCAATTTGATGAAATCGACAATAATTAGGTGGCTGTAGGTTGCACTTACATGGCTTTATTTAAATCTAATAGTAATCTGTATACCTTATGAATCATGAAACCGCCAGCTTTGTAATAATGTATCTTTTTCACTCAAATATTTTGGCCTGTGCTATGACATTTTAAATGTCAGCCAAATATTGGAATGGGACAGAAGCCCCCATTGCCTGTCCCTTTGCTACGACCCTGATATAGATTCATTGACAGAGGTTATATCAATATCAATAATTAGTAATTTATGAATTGGTTAAGGCTATATCATATCAGAGCAATCTTAAATGGGGGGGGGGGGGGCCCCTTTTTTCATTACCCATCCCCCTTCAAGCAAATAATGAACAGTCTCTAGGGCTCTTGTAAACTTACTTTTAATGAATTGTATAGACACTGTATTGAAGTCAAGTCAAGTGGCCCGGCAGTAACACTCAAGATTACTGTTGGGTGTAAGATGTATAGCATTGACCTGACGCTGGCCATCAAAGATGAATCCTGGCCTGATGATGCCGATGAATGGAAAACAAGACATAGAGGTGATAAATGAAAATTAAAAAAACGACTTAGTAGCTAGAAGTGCTGTTAATCCCTCACTATTAAAATAATAGCCAATCAGAATGCAGGGAAGTTATTATGTGTATATAATACATATTTGGTAGTATTTCACTTTTTCTTCCCATCAGGCCTTGCAACCTACATGTATTTACAATAGTGTGAGATAAAATAGCTATACAATGCTATTCAGACTGATACTGCTTGTCAGGGTTGTATTGGAAGTTAACTAATGAGTTTACATGACAAATCATAGGCATATAACCTTGAAAAAAATTGTTCTCTGACAATTATGTTTTCGTGATGGCACAAAGATGTTGCAAAAATTATATTTGTCATAAGTTCACATTTACTTTGTGTTATTTTAAAGGTTGGCCCACAAGAGATTTAGTAGGTGCAATAGTTAGAGATGGCTGTCATCTTGTTGCTAAGCGACCAAAGCAAGCATTCACCACTGAAAGTGAGTACTTTTGGAGGTATTCATTTTCTGGTGCAGAGAAAAAGCTTGCGCTACAAGGAGAACGAGGGGAGGAGGGCACCTGCCGTAAAAAAATACTGCGTATTCTAAAATTACTGCGGGAACAGTACCAGTTGACCCCTCTCACTTCATATCACCTGAAGACTATCATGTTTTATGAGAGAGAAACTTATCCTAGACTATCCTTGTGGAAAGAAGATCAGTTGGCCATCAGGTTCACCAGTGCTCTTGCAAGATTACGAAGTTGTCTCCAGCAGAGAAAATGCCCTCACTACTTTATCAAAGATGTCAATCTTTTTGATTCAAGGTTTGATAATCGTTACAAGGATTTGATAACTTGGATAGATAAATTCCAAAGTAATCCTCAGAACTATTTAAAGTAGACAGCAACTAGCATGTCTTAGAAAAGCAAAAGTCGTCAGCTTGAAATCAGAGACACAATCCAATACCATAATTTCATAGTATTAAAAA